TGGTTTTAAAGACGACACATCCCATGATGCAATGCGTCAGGCAAATATCCAAATGTACGGTGAAATCATGGCAACTGTTCCTGCACATAATTAAATGTGTGTGAGTGAGCAGCGTCACTAACTTACATCATACGATGCATTGCTCTTTGATTTTACTGATTTATTTTTTCATTGATGTTTATTTAGATGTCACTTGAGTCCCACAGCTGCACAGATGGAACACATTGATGTGTTTATGTGGGAATTTCTTTGTTAAGAGAGTGAAAAATGTTTGGCCATGTTTTAAATGTTATTTCTTTCTTTTCATTCCTCCTCCACCCGCTTCTCCCTCTCTCTTTTCCCCTGCTTTCCCTCCACCCTGCAGCTATCCCGGGAATGATCGTCCCGCCCATGTAAAAGGTGTGCGTGCGTGATTGTGTGTTTCTGTGTGATGAGTCGAGCACACCCCGTCGCTGATCCCGACATAGGATTTGGTGCGAGTCGGACTCCGGTTGAGGATGGAAGCATCCGTCCAGAGCTGAAGGAAGAAAACCAACTCAGGCCCTTTTTAAAAAAAATAAAATAAAATAAAAAAACACGAAGGAAACTGTAAAATAAAAAACAACATAAGAACAAAAACTGTTTGCAAGATAAATCGTTGACTTTGTACACTGTAATGATTTTATAGAACTGCCACGCCTGCGTTAAGATTCTCTGCAGTCGCAGGAAGGGAATCCACTTCCTCCTTTTGTGACCTTTTTTTTTTTTTCGTGCAACAATTGTTGTGTTTTATTTTCCTCTTAATTGTAACACAAGCATTTTGTTTTTATTTATGAAGTTTTGTCTCCCGTGAAGGAATGTAACGTGAAAAAGACCCGACGAGTCGAATTAGAGCAGGATTCATACGAGCTATGATCCAGCCAACACAGACAAGCCAAACCAGACACACTTTTGCTTTCCTTTGCCAAATCAACAACTTTCACACCAACCGTTCTTCTCTGTGCGTTCAGTTAAAGCTCTCCCGCTGCACCTGATGCTGCAGCTTCAGCTGTTTACTCTCAGCTTGTGCATTTGCTGTCATGTGCTAAATTTTCTATAACGTACATCGGAAGCTTGTTGTTGTTGCAGAGATAAAATAAATGCTCAAAATTCTATTTGATCGATTTGGCAATACCCAGATATTTAAAGCTCCTTTCCATCAAGGTTTTTTTTTGTGATGAATGTTTGCCGACAGCAGCTCTGTTTGACCCGACGGCTGCCACCCATGCAACCACATCTGCTGCTGAGAACACGCCATAAAAGGACTTCTGCCATTTTGACTTTTGATTATTGGTTTGTTGATGAGATTTTCTTTGTAAGATTTTGTCTCATAGATAAGTTAGTTCTTGTTTTGTTATTTTAGTTTGCGGTGCTTGTTAAGATATTAGTGCTTGGCTGACCAATCAGATTGCGCTTGCCTTCTGACCTGGTTTAATTGATTGCATGGGAGAAACGTTAGCCATCAGTTATGTCTTGCTGCTCTGCAAAATCAAGTAAAAAAAAAATTACAACTTAATTTTTTTAAGTTAAATACTTCTGCTGCAGGACTTCCAAACTTAAAATAATCAGTCATTTCAACATGAGCTGCAAAATGATTTATAATATGACTAAACAACATTTTATACAATAAAAAAGTGCCATAGAGTTTATTTAAAGAGGTGGACAGAGTTGCTTCCAGGTAAGACAAGAGTTTAAGCTTTTTTTGTCAGTTTTTATATTTTTAAATAATTGGTTTCACCCACCTGCTGTTATTTGCAGTTTACTCCTCCTTCACTTGTTTGTCTAGGTTTAGTCACCTAAAAGACTTAGTGTCAGAGAAAAGCAGTTATTTTGGGGTTAGGCTCTGTACTTGATACATTTGTCTCAGTATAATTTGCAATCTGCACTGTAATAACAAAATGTTATCAACTAAATAACTAATATAGTTCACTTTTTCATTCAGAAATGAAAAAGTATATATGCTTTTAATAGGGATGCACGATATTATCGGCATGGTATCGGTATCGGCCGATATTAGCGATAAAGTTAAATATCAGACATCGGCCATTCCATCAAATAACTCACTGATAAAAAATGCACCATATATATATATATATATATATATATATATATATATATATATATATATATATATGGCGCTGTTTTTGTATGACTGTTTGAGTGTTGGCATTGTGTTAGAGAGAGTAAATGTCGTGAATAAATGAAACATAATCCAAGTTGAAGTGTTACATCATGTTCAGCCCCCTTTTTGGCATCTGTATTTGGTAGCAGGCCATATTGGCAAATAATATGCAGAATAATGTAAATGGTAAATGGTAAATGGAGCTTACTTCTATAGCGCCTTCCAGCCCCCTATGAGGGGCCCCAAGGCGCTTTACAGTACCAGCCATCCACCCATTCACACGCACATTCATACACCGGTGGCGGTAGGCTGCCATGCAAGGCGCCATCCAGTCCCACCGGGAGCAACTCGGGGTTAAGTGTCTTGCCCAGGGACACAACGGCACATGGTGTGGGAAGTCGGGATTCGAACCTCCAACCTTCCGATCAGAGGTCGGCTGCCACTACCACTGCACCACGGCCGCCCCTAGTATGTAGTATTTTAATTCCACAGCAGCGAAAGCTATGTAGTCTCTGTAAGTAGGTCTAGGGGGAAAAAAATCGGTATTGATATTGGTTATCGGCCAAATAAGTTTAAACATATTGGCATATCGGATATTGGCCAAAAATCCAATATCGTGCATCCCTAATTTTTAGGATTAATTGTAAGTTCTTTACATTTGGACATTTTCTTACGTTAATGATTATTAAAAATGTTTAATTGTGAATGATAAAAAACATTACAGCTAGAGTAAAATAAAGTCATATTCACTGGTCTTTCCAGTTAAACATCATCAAAGTACAAATTAGGAATCAAAAATAGTCTGAACACATTCATATCGCTGTCCTTGGATGCTGAATGTTTACACGTAGATCTTGCAGGATCTGTTAGTGCTCACAGTATTTGTTGGGAAGTACTGTCAGCTACTACCACATCAAAGTTTTTTCTCTGTATCTGTCAAATCAACTGAATCACAGCCATGTTTGTGCTGGTTGATTTGCTGTGACCACCACCTTAAATTGGATCAACTCGGACACAGTCTGAGATGTTCAAGTATAAAACCATAAAAGTGTAACACGTGGAAGTGCAGAAAGCCTTTTGTGTGAAATTACCTCGAAATTATTTAAACTTTCCTGATATTTGGACCAAGACCTTTGCAACCTTGTGAAATTTGCCAAATCACTTCAATTATGCTCAGCAACTCAGACTTTCCTATTTAATTTGGACGATATTTATTCTGTTTAAGAAACACAATTAAATACTTACGTCCACATTTTTGCAACACAGGTCAGTTGATCAGTGATGTTTCTTTTTTTAATAAAAGCTTGTTGTAACATTGACCCATCAATTTGTTGCTCAACGGTCTTAAATATATAATGCCTATTTGAATTTTCTCAAGTCTGCCTCACTTTTTTTAACAAATGTCTGCATAGTCTTATGCTACAAGAGTTTGTGGTTTTACATTTTTTATTTGTAACATAGAAGTTGCCATAACTTATTTATCTGAGAAAGCTTATCAAAGCATCATTTAGAAACCTGCAGCAGGCAAAAAGTCAGTCTTCCTTGCTTTAATAAGTTAAGCTGAATCATTTTACCCTGGATAGATGATAGTTGAAGTTATTTTAATCTCTGACTAGATTAAAAAAATAACACTCTTAATAATAATATGTTCAAACGAGCAAATAAAAATAACCAAGTAATTAAAAACGGGAATTAAAAAAATTATCAAGAATTTTAGGAAATAAATGTCTTAAACGTTTGATTAAAACTTTGAGTTTTCAGGACAAACTGTTTACACTTTGAAAATTTGCCTCATAGGAAATTTGAATTTTTCTGAGATCATGTGTTTGTTTTGTATAATATTGTCTTTTTAAAGCCATATTTCCACTATTTTCAATCTAAACGAATCCATTTGGTTATAAGAAGGACATGTTTAATTTTCTCATGTTGCAATATTCTTTTAGTGTTATTTGTTGTGTTCTGTAGATTAAGAATGTTAATTATTATTTGCTATAATTTTCTAATTATTTCATGAGTTTGTGATGGAACAAAACGGCTAAATGAAGACTGAAAGAAATGTCTTGTTTTTTCCTTTTCTTTTCTCGTGCTTCTCAAGTTTTCTTGATTAATTTGCTCCAGTCTTCTTGTAACTCTTTACCTTGTTTTTTTATTTTTTAACATTTTCTTGAAAAGAAATGAGCCGCCTATTTATTTGCTCTCCAGGGCCCAGAGACCACTGTTCTGGTGTTACAGTGACGGTGAGCGCATGAGGACAAAATGTGATGCTTAAAAGCAAAAGGATTGTTTTCTATTGTTGGCTTCATTTCTCATTGTAAAGTAAAAAGTAAATGAGAGGGTTGTTGCTGAGATAAAGTGGATTCAGAGCACTTGTTTGACTACAGTAAATACAGTGATTCTAACCCTGGTCCCTGAGGAACACCATCTGCATGTTTTAGCTGTTTCCATGCTTTGACACATTATTTTGTGTTTAACAGGCTTCGGCAGAACTTGAGGAAGTAATTAAATGATTGAATCAGGTGTGTTGAAGCAGGGAAACAGCTAAAACATGCAGGGTGGTGTTCCTCAGGGACCAGGGTTGGGAACCACTGCATTATCTTGGCTTGTCTGCATTCGGGGCATCCTTCACACACATTTTACGAAGAGTACAGAGGAAACTACTGTAAAGATGATGAAGATGATTTTGTAATATTTTGAAGTGTAAAAAAAGCTTTTTGACTTTCACTATATTTAATTAAAGCTCTTTCATCTCTTAAAAGGTTTTGCTTTGTGTCTCTCAGCCTACAACATACAATGTCATGTGAGAACAGAAAATATTTGAGAATAATGTGGATTTAGTTAAATAAATTAATTGTTTTGATGCTTGTTTTGCAGTCCACTTTTTACTGTTGTTGATTTATTTGATGTGTTTGGAAAGTTCAAACCTGAAACACACATGTGTCTCACATGAACACAAATCATAGCAGCCTGTTTATCAGTCGATGTGTGGCTCGCTCAGCCGACTGAGCAGGACATCTAGGAGCCAAAAAAAGTACAAAATCCTCACTTAATCCAAGAAAAATAAAACTCCGTATTGAGAAAGATTAACAGGATTACAAGAGAGTCCAATTGTTAAGATTTTTATTTTTATTTACCGTATTTGGTTTTTATGCTGAATAACAAATTCTAATTTGATAGTTTACAATTACGGTTTCTTTGCAACATCCAATTAAAGAGGTATTCCATATCTTTTGAAGTGTGGTTTGGTCAAAACCTTATTTAAA